GGCGATGAGGTCTTAAAATGTATGGGAAGGGTCTTAGAAAAGGTCTTAAAGGTATTACATTTGACTTCAGGATTCCTGCATATACCCTGTCCTGGGTATCAGAGCCCTACACTGTTTGCAGGGCTGATCCTGCCAACATTCAAATTGTCCTTTTGGTGCACTGTGGGTGTTGAACATGTCCCTTTTCTTGCAACATGACAGCCCTGAACTTCACTGCCCCTACTAACTATTGAACTTTTGAGCAGCTGCTTGTTTCTGCTTCACTGTTGCTCAAGTTGATTTTGGATATTTCAAGCACAAGTTATAAAATATATATAACTGTAAATAATATAAGTGTTGTTATTAAATTGAATGACACAAATACTTGTATGGCTTGTACTCGGCACATCGCCTACTAAACTAATGCCATCTTTCCACTTAAAAAAAAAAATAATTTTAGTAAAAAAGCATCTAAAACCTCCTGTGCGCTTTCTGGTGGCAAACATACGACAAAGTTAGCAACTGAATGTATTACAATAGTGGAACATTTAGCAAGTGAAGACTAAGAGACAGTAATTATCTCAAGAGTTGGTTGAGACCAAAAACAGAGCTAAAAGAACAAAGAGTGAATATTGGACTTACATTTATCAGGTTCACCCTACTTTCTGGTTTTCTAGAGAATGCAAGCACAAGAGTGGTATCGGAGAATTTATAAACTATTGTTCAAGTAATAATTTTTTGCTCTGGGTGAAAGCCGAAAAAAACGTTCAGATGTGTTCTTGTACTGTGTCTCTTTATAGCTTTGACTGTGTAAACAATTTACAGCCTGAAACACAAGCAAACAAGTTTTTCTCAGATATGAACCTGCTGCTGTATCTCGCTTTCGAGTCAGGTTTTTTTTCTCAGGCAATCTTCTTTAGTCCAAGTATTGTGTGTGTGTGTGTGTGTGTGTGTGTGTGTGTGTGTGTGTGTGTGTGTGTGTGTGTGTGTGTGTGTGTGTGTGTGTGTCCTTTTCTGACACCACAATCATACATGTATACCAGAGCTGTGGCCTTGAAGCAAACAGATACACAGGAAGTGAGTCATTGCGCTTCTGCCCTTTCAAAGTTTTGCAGTGGAACTAATCTACAAAACCTCAAAGGATACAGGGCCAAGGTATTGCCGATGTGTTTGTGACCTTTTAATGCAAAGATTGTGTAGATAATAAGGCAGGCGTTTGGTGATGTATTGCCGCAGAATGTTTGTGTAGGAAACCCAAAGAAAACCAAAGTTTGTGGTTGACACAAACACAAACTTTAATGAAATAATAATGCTTGTTGATCACAGTACTAAATTGCATTGATGCAAGGTTAGTTTTTGTGTGGACACCTGTATCTATGTATTGTTGGTTTGACTCCCTGTGATCTGAATCAGGTTTGAATTTACACTCTGTTTTTAAGATTTTTGCAAGCTGGAATTTAATGGTAGTTAATAAATGGCCAAATTTAAACCATAAAAAGCAACTATATAAATGGGGATTGTAATTATCTGCACCTACAATTAATCCAAAAATAATCTAAAGCTATTTTAGTTGATCACTTTTGGCCTTCTATTGCCTCTTTGCGCCGGTGGTTGGAGTCTCCATTGTTCAGATGATTACACTCAGTTGGTCACTGTAAGCTCTATTAACTATGATCATCACTGCATCAGAAACACACTAAGACTCATTCTAAGCAGGGAATATATTTCGGTGGTAAATTTAGGAAAGGTGATTGAGAAAACATTTTAAACAATAGCTATCAGTTATTTTGGCAAATGCGTTTTTGGCAAACATTTGCATTCCATTATAAGCACAATTGATCCTCATGCATCCACTTTGAGATGGACAGTATTACCAATCTGAATTAATGATGTCATATTTTAGATCAAATATGTTGATGGTGCAGCAATCCCTTATTAATGTGGACATGTGTTTTTTATCAGATACATTTGACTGGAAATAAGGTCTTTGTAGCTATTTTTATTTGTATTACAAACGTTTAGTTTCTTTATGTTGAATAAGTATTATATTGAATTGTGTGTTATAGCTTCTTGGTTTTAAATTATTCCAATTGGCTCCACTCTTTTACTGGCTTGCAGGGCTTTACATAATTGTACATTTATTTTAGCAAATATCTGTCAAATCTGTGTATTCATCAGATATTTGTACCAGCTAAATGCTGACACTATTCTAGCCCCTCCCATGTGAGCTATTTTAGGTGAGCACCTTAATTTTTACCCTTTTCATCGTTTTATAGCTCAGCCAACAGCCGTGACAGGTAAAGGTCAAGGAAAGACGAAATGTAGAATCAAAGGGAATAGGGTTGATTTCTCTTTCCTTCATTACCTGTGCCCTTTACTCTCACTTCTGAGATTTCGCTCTCAACTCATCAAACAGATCACAAAGACAGCCTTCTTCCACCTCAAAAACATCGCCCGTCTACGTCCATCCCTCTCTCCCACTGCTGCCGAAACCCTCATCCACGCCTTCATCACCTCCCGTCTGGACTATTGCAACAGCCTCCTCTATGGTTCACCTGCAAAAATCCTCAACAAACTTCAATATATCCAGAACTCCGCCGCCCGTCTACTCACCCACACCCGAATCCGTGAACACATTACACCCGTCCTCATCAAGCTCCACTGGCTCCCTATCCCCCAGAGAATTCAGTACAAGATCCTCCTGATGACATACAAAGCCCTTCATAACCTGGCCCCATCCTACCTGACTGACCTCCTCNCTTGAGATCTCATTTTTCCTTCCTGTTTGTCTTAGTGCAGCCTTTGATTTTTTGGGTTCCTTCTGGCGGAGTGATGATTACGGACAATGCCGTGTTGGATTTTACTTTCACCCATGCTGCCGTTTTCAGAAATGGCGCTCTGATCTTCATGCGAGCAGCAGACCTTCGCTAGGGGATGCTCCGATCGCCCAATTTTGGGGGCCGAATTACGGTATTTGGTAACACCACCAGCGAGGCCAACCTGGAGCTGAAGGTGTTGGCCTCCAACCCCATCATGGAGGTGAGGACTGCAGGAAGCTGTCTGTGGAGAAAGACCCTGGATTAAGCCCTCCATAACCTGGCCCCATCCTACCTAACTGACCTCCTCCACAGACTCACTCCCACTCGCTCCCTCCGCTCTGCCACTGCCATCCTCCTGTCCCTCCCCACCCGGACCAACCTCAAGTCTTGGGGCGACAGAGCCTTCTCCGTTGCTGCACCCACCCTCTGGAACTAACTACCCCAATCCATCAGAGATTCTTCCTCCCTCACAGCATTCAAAACATCACTCAAAACCCACCTGTTCAACACTGCATTCAACCACTGACCCCCCCCCTCCCCCCCTATTTTCTGTTTTGTTTATCTCTTTTTTTATTTCTTTGTTTTTTTGTTGTTTTTTTTTCTTAATTCTCTATCAAAGCGTCTTTGAGTTTCATGAAAAGCGCAATAAAAGTCCCATGTATTATTATTATTATTATTATTATTATTATTATTATTAACTCAACAACATGTGCAGAGAAGAGGACCTTATGAAATAGCCGGTAACATATACATTCATCACCTGCCATCATCAAACTATCTTTTCTTGACTCTTTTTTTTGTACTCTCTTTCTTACAAAGATGTGCTGTACTGTCTCTTTTCTGTGTCTTTTATTTCATTTCAGCCCCTCCTCATTAAAACTCTCCAACTCCATATCAGCCAGCTCCTATTTCTCCCTCTTTGAAATCCTTCATTTGCTTCTACATCTTTCCTACCTCTTTCTGCCTCTTTTGTGACCTATAGAAGCTTCTGATTTAGAATATGAAGATAATAAGCACACAAAAAGGGCTGCTTTTATTTCTTGAATAAACTGAACATGCCGCAGGGCTACTCCAACTCTAAGCTGTTATTGCAGAGCATTTAATGAACTGAACAAGGTCCAATGTGTACAAATGCCACTGAGACATGGTTATTAAAACAGAAGCAGCTCAGCCGGAAAGCCAATGCTAGTCTGGCTTTTCATTGAAGAAGCATTACTGCGGCAGTAGCTGACATGACTTTGTTTCCTGACCTTTTCCTCAGCTAAGTCTGGAAAATAAGACAATACATAAACAATTAGTTGACTCAGGGGCAATCAGACAGGCAGTACATGGACAAACTCATTCCAACATTTTCATATATCCTGTTGAATGGTTGCTCCGTTGTCATAAGGGTGCAAATAAGTTACATTTGTATAATATTTCAAGGTATGTTTGTTCAATGTTTTAGTTTGTATCATTATTTGTTAAATATAAACTGATATTCTACACTTCGTAGAGGAAAAAAACATGTTGAAAAGGAAATTCTAACATTTTGTGATGGCGTTCACATCAGCTTTGGGTTTATTTTGATGGTGTGTTATTTACAGAAGAGGCCCTTAAACATTTTCTGATTATAAGTCCTTGATCATTATAGGTATTTATTTTGATATTCATGCACTGTCCTCCTGTTCTTGTTATAATTGTTGCTTGATCAAAAGTAAGTGAATTGTAAAAAGAAAATAGTAACTTTTGATCTAACTACAGAAAGAAGACTGTTGCATTGCTTTTCCTGTGTGTATTATTCTTGTATTTCAGTATTTCTTTGTAGAATTGCGTTTGATTTGAATGTATGTGTGCACCGTTTTTAGACAACTCTAATATACTGTAATGTGCATTCTGTTACTGTTAGACTAAAGAAGCAGTTGCCTTTATTCAAAATATACCTCTATTTAGATGCCATGGTTACAAGGCACCTTTTTAGATGTATTATGGGCTGTGGTTATTCAATACTTTGAGTAATAATCAATGCCTCGCATTCAAAATGTAGGTTGAGTAGTTCATTCTTGACTTTGGCAACATCAGTTAAGAAAACACTTCACTGCAGTATGTCCCAAGCCTGTTACACTATTTACTCATGTGTTATGGGTAAGCTGCAAGTTTCTTGAAGGGATTGTTTTCAGGCAATAGTATGTCATTTTTCTCTCTCTGTGTTTTCTCTTCCAGTACCGGATTGGGCAGCTGTACATGATCAGTAAACACAGTCACGAGCAGAGTGACAGAGGGGAGGGAGTGGAGGTCGTCCAGAACGAACCGTATGAAGACCCGGAGCACGGCCAAGGACAGTTCACAGAGAAACGAGTCTACCTCAACAGGTCAGTGGAACGCGTCGATTCCAGTATATTGTCAAACCTGCAACCATTTAAAGTGTGTTCAATTTTTCGTACCTTTTACCTTTAGTCTATTTTACAAATTAAATCATTAAGCCGTAGCTTGTTCATTATTTGTTTTCTATATTTTACATATTATTTGGGCAGAATCCTTTGGTTCAAAGAACAAATTTAGTTCCTTTCTGAAAAAAGAAGGTGGGCAGAACAACTTGGGCCACTGTGAAGAGCACCACCTGCTGAAACTGTCAACAGTCAATTCAAGTAATAGGGTACCTCAAAACCACAGTATAGCATTATATATATATAGTAAACACTATAGCAATGAGCTTGGTATCAACTTGTGCTTTAAATGATACTTTTTTGAAAGTTTTTTTTGGCTCATTGTCTTAAAGGCTTGCTCGCCACCAGGGACTAGATATCATATCTCTGAACTCTATCACTCAAACATCTAATTTAATCCTTTAACCTGCCTTGACCCAAAGCTGGAAACACCTGAATTCAATGCGTAATAAACAGTTTGCATATGAACTGTCTGAGATTACATTGAGCCATTGCATAAGGCTGCAAAGGTTGCAAACACGTCACTGCTGCTCACTACATGTTGTTAGTAGCAGGTTTTCTTGAGTCACGTATGCATCACACTTACATCACCACATACTGATGCATCTCATTGTGTCCCATGCAGCTGCACGTGTAACTCTTCCACACGCAGTTTTGACCCACGTGAACTAAACGAAGATGACAGTGACAAGGGTGGAGAATGTGTGGAAAATATAAAGATAAAATACAACGAAAGTCTTGAGAGAAAGGAAAACATAAGAACAAGAGAGGGAGAAAAGAGAGGGAAACAGAGATGCTGTAGGCCATTTGGTTAAGCATAAATACCTGTGTCAGCGTGCGCCATGCCAGGGAACTCATTATGCTGAGTCAGCACAGCTCTGCTCTTCAGAGGAGAGAAGAGGGAGAACGAAGAGGGGAGAAAACACATTTTAAGTTGGGCAACTATATACAGTAGGTATATGCAAAGTGCTATGTATGTAATCAAATATTTAAGAATCAAAATCAAAAACAAGTTCCACAATTTCACATTTAACCTTTTGGGTAGTTAAATATATGATGGTTGGAAAAACAGAGGAATGGAAGTTGTTATATGGACGTTTTCAACATGCAAGAAACACTACATCAATGTCACCTTCTGTTCTATGTTTAACTCATGGCCTGTTCTATATTTCACAAAACATCTTTGTTTTTACATTTCTTCTCATAATGAGAACTCAAACGTTTAATTACAGCTCCCAACTTACTGACCTTTTCAGAGTAGCTGACGTTTTGTTAAAGTCAATTTTTCATTTCTCTGGTTACACTCGAGATGAGCCTAACACAGCCTGGTTCCTCTCACACACCCTTTTAAAGAAAATTGAGTTGGATCTTGTTAATTGGACATTATGTATCATAACTAAACCATGTACATTCAACTGGCCATCTGGTTCTGCAAATAACTGAACATTTAGCTCTGATTCACAAGCATACAAGTCAATCTGGATTTGTTCTGTCTCACAGACCTCATATTGGCCCTCACAATCTGTCTTGAGCTGTGCCTCATTATTTGGATTCAACCCGTCCGACCTTCGCATGAATTCCATGTCTGTTTTTTTCATTACCTCCATTCATAAGAGCGGTGAGGGGATAGTTGATTCATTGAACAGAATAAGGAGTTACTTTTCCTTGGTATGTGTTTAACTAAAAGGGTATTTTTTCTATTCATTTAAACTCAAAACAAATGCCAGCTTTGGCATGATAAACTCAGAGCAGCCACCCACCACTCGCACGCCTGGCAACGTGGGCCCCGTCACAGCAGCTATTGGCAAAGATCTTTTGAAGAACAGGGAGGGATTGGGAGAAATCAACAGATGGAGGTGTAGGAGGAGAGGCAGTCTCTTTTGTTGGGAGGGAGAAAGAGGGAGAGAGTGTGAGTGAGCCTGCCAACACACACACACACACACACAATGTGATGGTCGATGGCTGTTTTTATTCACAGCCGTCATGTGCAGTGGGCGCCATTTTTATCCTCCTCAAGGAATTGTTTTCCATGTCAATCAAAGGGAGTGGAGATGGAGGCACGGTACAGGAAAGCTTGTGCACTTCTGTGTTCGACATGTCTCATAAATAAGTTCTCAAAGCAGCCTCAGTTAGAGTTCAATAGTGCAGGGTGCACACATTGGCAGTATATTGAACCTCTATGAACATGTGGAAATAATTGTAATGGTAAATATGCTTATTTGTGTTCTTGCCGGGAGTCTAATAACATTAATACGAATCTCATTTCTTTATGGTACATTTGAAACTGCTGCCTGCACCCGGTGAATTTAGCATAAAGACAAAGGACAAGGAGAAAAGGCTACCCTGGCTCCGTCCGAAGGTGATAAAATGTGCCTCTAAAACTCTCTAATGAACACATTATATCTTGTTTTGCTTGGTGCAGCCTGTAGTCTTATCCAGCATAAAAGTGACTGCACTAAACAAGAAATAGCACATAAGATCCCCACCCAACCACCCTTAGTCCCTTACATTGTGTTTTGATCTTCAGTTTAGTAGGTTAGCCCTTAAAAGTGTTAAGGTACCATGGAGATAACCTGCTGTGCAGAGAAACAGCCTATGCGTTTGATCTCCTGAGCGAATCCCCTGAACCTGAAAGTTGTTTTCGCACTGTTCCTCATGTACAATGATCCTTTACTGTGAGCAGATTTAATTTCTAGTAGAACAAGTTTCTCATGATTGCTGCGATAGCGGAAGCAATTTCCCTCCTGTCTTCGCTGCTACATCCTCACAGTCTCTCTCCTCCCCTGTTGCTGTCTGTCTCAATGTCTCTCTGCAGTAAATTACCCAGCTGGGCTCGAGCAGTCGTTCCTAAAATCTTCTATGTGACGGAGAAAGCATGGAACTACTACCCTTACACCATAACAGGTGAGCATACCGAGTAAATGTGTTAGTTGGACTCTCAGCTATCAATCTTTTCTAGCTTTTGTTCAAGGGTCAATACCAAACATATTCCTTGCACACTCAAAACTCACATTTAGCCGGGTTAGGTGCTGTAACAATAAGAGATACTGACATTTCTACCTCTCATGTAGAAATATGGTCTATAATAGCTCTGGTTGAAACAGTTTAGTATTGCTATCGTATGATGCATAACACTCCTTCAGTTTATCATCTTCTTTCAGTCGGTCAGAAGTTGTTTTTCAGTCGAATCACAGTCAACAGTCATCACTCCGCTTGGTACAAACACCACTGGATTTTTTAAGGGAGTTTGGAGAAGCTTGTGAAACGAAAGTATGACTTTTCTACACTCAGGGAGAAAAGCCATTTGTACCACATGGTCCAAGATCGCGAATCACCACTGCATTTTTTAACACATTTTTAAAAGGAAGGAAAGAGCTTTTCCAGCAAAGTCCCTGAGCAACTTCAGACATGTGCTATTTAATTCAGGAAGCTCAGAAGCTCTCTTAGCAGCTACTCAATATGTAAATGATCCAGGATATGTGAGGGTTTAACATGGATCTTTGTCAGGATGCAGCGAAACTGGAAATATGCAGTTTTATAGCAGTCTATGCAAAATGTAAATTAAATGTGACCCCTGAAGACAAAGGATCAGAAGGATTTTGTAGCATGGATCAATAAAGTGTATTCTTCTTCTCTTAAAGGTCATAGTATGGTCATCGAGAACAGCTCTTGATACAAAACAACACAGTGTGGATTTCACAAAGGCCTTTTATGCTTACACACTCAACTGACTGTCAATAGCTTCAGATAATTATAGAAGTGTGAAAAGGATAAACATGTTATTGACATGAAAACATGTTAAAGCTGACATAAATGAACATGTTTACAGTGTCGATGTGAAGCAAATGGTTTCTATTCATGGGATTTCTGTCATGCTCAAATGATCCTGATCTGAAGGAGAAGTGTAAGGACCACAGATAAAAGGGAATGTTCTTTTTGATGAGAGCAAATTACAGAAAAGTAGATGAGAAATTCACAAAGAAGGGGATGATGTGAAGTATCAGTTCATGTTTGTCCTATATATTGTTTCAATATTGCAGCCTTCTCATTTCCTTTTTCATGTGTTCTGTCTCTGCTCTGACCTGATGCCATCCCATGCCTCGGTCTGCAGAATATACAGTAAGTATCCTTTATGTAAGGCACCAGAGTAACACTGATTATTTGTTCACAGGTGTATTATAGTGTAACATAACATAGTGTGTTGAATAAGACTTTACTGTAATAATGTTCATCCACTTAATCAGAATATTGGCAATTATAACCTTTAAAATGTGTAATGGTGCTTACACCGAATCACCAATCTGCTGAACCGGAAGACACAGAGCAACATTAGCATTCATAAGTAAATGTAAGTCACTTTAGCTCTTTTCTGGTCTACTGTACCAACAACTCCTCAGAAGAATATACGTATATATATATTTTTTTATTTAACCTTTATTTAACCAGATAAAAGCATTGAGATAGAATCTAATTTGCAATGCTGACCTGGCCAAGAAGGCAGCAACGTTACACATAACACATAACACAGACATATAAAATACAGAGAACATACTGTATCTAAGAAGAAACCTTAATATCTGGTGCTTTATCTGTCAAATCCTCCACTAAATGTATCTCGATGCTAACTTTCTATAAGGGCATGACCAAATAGTATACAATGTCTTTTATGAGTGCTATTTGCTGAAAACACACACACACACACACACACACACACACACACACACACACACACACACACACACACACACACACACACACACACACACACACACACACACACACACACACACACACCAGAGGGCATGTTTTGGATAATAGGTCTGATCTGTGATTGACCATGAAAACAAATGAAGGTTTAGCAGAACAAGCAGACACATTTTTAAGAAACATGTGAATATGATTTAACTTGGCTCCAGGGCCTCTGTAGTTCATTGTGAGGAATGTCAACAGCATTAGTCACACCACTTTAGGGTGCAGGGACAAAAGGGGAAGACAATAATGCTGTATGAATCAGTGAAGACTCATTCGAAGATTAGTTTTGAAGAAAAATACTCAAAAGACTTGAATTGTCCTGGCCTTTGCCAATTTTGACAGGGAGACAGCAAATAAACAGCAATTGACATATCACGGCCTGAAGTTTTGCACAAGACAATGAGGAGTAACATAGAAAGAGAGAAAATGTTCCTACAGTAACTCTGAGTGTTTAACACTTATTTATTTACTATTTATATGTGTTGTAATGCAGTCAATCACACAGCCACTGCCATGTCATAGGATATATGTTTTTGTGGTTAAACATCTTTGTCTCTCTTGACCCACAGTGCTCATTCCTGCCCAAGTTCTCCATCCACATAGAGACAAAATATGAGGACAACAAAGGATGCAATGACAATGTGAGTACATGTGTGTATTTTCTGAAAGAAGCTTTGAGTAGTTGTTTGGGGGGGATTTGGGTCTGTTTCATAATGGTTCACTCTGAAAAGGAGTGTGATAGGAGTCATTTGTACATACAAGTGCATGTTGTGTGCGTCCAGACAATGGATACATGGATACTACTATTTCTGCAATACACTTTTATCAGCATTAACATGCCCAGTCAATAAACCAGTCTGGTTCTAACTCCCATATCAATCTCTCAGCTTAATATGCATCTGCAGCATGTCTGCTGTCCCACTTATACAGAAATATGTACATCAAAATAGGCCAATTTGAAACATTAAATGTCTCATAGCAGACATATGGTTGAAAACAAGACCTCTGCGGAGGCTAGATGAGTAAAACCGTTTCAGCAGATCTGGCGAATAGCAGACCCTCATTTGCAATCCCTTCGCATCCTAATGCCAACTATACCATGTGCCTTGAGAGTCTGCCAGAAACTGCTCCACTTGTTGGACAGCTAATTAAATTTAAGCTGTTAGCCTCCTCACTTTCTTTCCCTCGGTATTTTACTCCACTCTCCAGTTTATAGGAGCATTAGTCATCAAATGAAAGGCTGCCATTGCCTGGACAGTGATGAAGAGAAATGGAAGGGGAGTGTGCAACAGACAAATTGCTTGAAATATATCATGGTGGGCTGCCAGCAGGTTAATGGGACCAAGTCTTTATATTTGGCTTCCAAATGTCAGGGATTTTAGTGATTGTATAGGGGAAAAATGTCTTCCAACTTCACTCAAATGTCCTTGAGTAGTTTATGCATGTAGGGACAGAAATGGACGAATGTCAGGGTGTCCATTTAGCGATGCTTGGATTGACACGACAGAGCGGCACATCAAAACAATTTGATTAAATCTAAAAGACTTTGCTTACAGTAAATACACTGAATAACTGAAAACTGAGACAAAAATCACAGCTCTGTTTCATAAACATCTGTTTCTGTGTGTAAATGTTTAGATACCAGACAATTTAAAGACATGTGCGTCATCCAAGCTGATGTATAACAGGGTCACATTGATGTTATTGTAAACACGCACTCACTAAATTCATTGATTTAATCATACAGCTGCATGACTTTTTGTAGCATCTTCAGAACAAGGCGCCTTGCATCTTTTATGACATTGTATAACCATGAGCGTGTGAGAACATTTCCTATAAATGATGCTGTGAAATAATATGTGTGCAGCTGTGTTTTAAATAGCACTGTTTCTGTGGATTTTGATGATATACCATACATCTGTCCACTCCGGGTGGCTTGACTCTGACAAGCCTCAAGTAAAAACAACTGAAAAACAAGCACTCACTAAGTGCAAAGGATTCAGAGATGGAGGAATGAAAAGGAAGGAATGGTGCAAGTCAGGGAGGAAGATTGGGGATTTGTGAACAGGAAATGAGTGGGCGTGTGAGAGTGGACATCATGCACCGTTTGAAGGGGGCCGGACTAAAAGTACATGAAATGCAAAATTCCACTGTACTATCCAGTGTCAGACACACATGTGTATGTGCCCACCCTCATACCCCAGTCATACTCACACATTAAGCTTCAACATGTGTCCTCAGGCCTCTCTCCGAGGACTCCTGACCTACACAGCAGGCAGAATAAAAAAACATGTATTTTTTCTCTCTTTTCTTTCGCCTTTTCTACTTGTTCAACCTTCGACACACTTTATGTTTTCACCACATAAGTCATGCAGACTCAACGCCACGCCCACAATAGAGACAGTAATGAGATGTTATTACTAAAGGGACTCATGTAAAAAGCCTTAAACATTCATGTGTGCCTCTGCAGTGAAACACACTGAGATCCAATATATTCCTCAGATCGCCTCTAGAGGAGTCATGTGTTTGGAATTTTCATGAGGCCACTCAAAAAAATCACAACCTCCAAAATGAAAATAGCTTACTCAACAGAACACGTCATTCGCGGCTTTCCTCCTGTTGGACAGAACATCCATTTGGCAGTAAACTTATGATTCTGGAAAAATATTATTATATAAATCTTTCTTATTTCATTCTTTTACAGATAAGAGACAAATGTAAATGTCCCCTCTATGGGACGAATAAAGGTATTCTGATTCTGATTCTGACAAGATTGGCCTGTTTTGTGTGTATTTTCCCTTTAGAGGATAATGGGATGCAGTTAGATCCATGTGTTTATGAGACAGTGATTACTATCAGACTTCAGTAGATTCCCTGCTTTGGAATTAAAGGACCATCTACTGCCTGTTTTTTGTCTTTGCTGTGTATTTTCACTGGAAAACTGATGAAGTTAAGTTTGTTAAGAAATGCTGGCCTTACTGCATGGTTTTAGCATTGAGTTGCAGCTCAGAACAACTATACTTGGATTGATCTTTACGAGTGATATTTGTAAGATTTGTTTTATGAAGTAGGAGCAGAAATGTAGTTGGTGACAGGCACATGTAGGAGTGTTTAGTTTAGTTTATTTTGTTCTGGCATATTCAAAATGATCCTGTATGGCCTTAAGGGGATCTACATCCACAGGTCAAACCAAGGTTATGTGTTACTGATCGGCACTGGGGAACTGTTATCGTTCGTGTGTTGTCTTTTTATTCCTTATCTTTTTTTCACCATCTCACTCTGCCAACAACTTTCTCTCAATATGGCCTCACATATGGGTGGTTAAGAAAATAGAAACCATTTCTAAAAAGAGAATGTAGGCTAAAAATGTGCAGGTAAAGCCTTTATATACCTCTAAAGATTTACATAAAAACTAAAGTGATGCGAACATCATAATTCTATCTTTTTAACTTTATTTTCAATCCCCCATGTTTCTTATTTCATTTTATAACCTTTCCTCCTTCCTTTTTTTTGCCAGTATTCATTTCATTTTATTCACTGTGTTCCCCTATTTTCATCTTCTCCATTTTCTCATCACTTCCTTTCCTCTTATTACACACCATCTTTGCTCATGCCTTCCTTTCATTATTTACCTTCTCTCTCTCTCCTCTCTTCCACTTCTCCCTCTCTCCCTCTCCCTCTCTTCCTCCCGGGCTCCATGCATGTCACTTGGCTGCACTCATGCATGCTGACATATCAACCTTATTGTGCCAGCAGTGCGCCTCTACACTGTAAATGACAGAATGCACCCTTGGTGGGGAGGAAATAAAGAAAGGAGTGATAGAGAGATAGAGAAACACAGGGGGAAACCGGGAAGGTAAAGGTCTGAGGTGTATCTACGGAGAGAGAGTGTACATTCAGACAAAGGCAAAACTCAAACAGAATGGAAAGTTATGTAAAGACAAAGTAACATGAGCTGCATTAGCTTTGATACAAAGTTAAATACATAGATCCCTTGACTTCTTGTACATAAGATATACAGTAATGAGGATGATCTTTGGGTACCTTTATCTGTTTTTCATATTATGTCATTATGAGCGGGTGTATTAGTCTATACATGGTCTGCGTGACAAGGGCTGCATTGATGAATGAACACATTTAAATAAATGCGTTGACGTTAAAGTATGTATGTTCATTCTTGATTCACAGTAGTAAAAGGTCCATATAATCAACAGCATGATAACGAATAAAGAATAATAAAGAATCTTAAAAGCAAAAAGCAAATAAGAGTGTGGCACACTTGTTTTATCAACATATGACACACTAATTGGAACCAGTACTGTGTCATCTGGCACAATAACAAAAATGATATGGGCACAAAGCACCACCTAATGGTTCTTTAAGCAAGTGCAACACACGTTTCGACAGTTTGGCTGACGTGAACAAGTGATAAGATGCATGATCAGTGGTTAGTAACATTTCAAATCATTTCCATCTTTTGGGTCAAGCAGAGAGGCAGTTTTTCCAGCCACATAATGTTGGACGTAACCTTGGAAAAGACACATTTCTGCAATGTATATTTATTCGTAAGAAGTCTACTCTCAGGCAGAGACTTCAATAAGCTGAACGATCTGTTTTCTGATTTCAGATCTTTGACACCGAGCTGAAGGACCAGGAGAGGGAGGTGTGTTTTGTCGACATTGCCTACGATGAAATTCCCGAGCGCTACTATAAAGAGTCTGAGGTGAGAGTGTGGAGTTGTGAGTGGGTACATCTCATTGTAGTTGAGAGATAACACTACTGGAGAGGTGTAAGTGTAGTGTTGATTCTGTTAATGCTCTAAGAAAATGTAATCTTAACACAACAGTATAAACTCTGTCATATTGTGATCTTACCCTGATCTAAATATTTGTATATCCAATCATGTGGAGTGAGAAAGCTCCTATTAAGGAAGATTTTCACTGAAAAGATTATAGTAAACTTGATATTATTATTTATAGTTAAATTTGATATTCAGTCCCAAACTTTGGAGACCTCAATCCATCTGAAGGCTGCATTTGATGCTTTATACCAAGGGTCGGCAACCCCTGGCAGGCGTGCCAGCATTGGCACGCGGCACCGTAACCAGTGGCACACTAGGAATAAGTGGAATAAGTGTGCAAAAATATTTAAATTGTATTTTCGGATCCTGAACGAGACCGCCGCCAGAGCGCGTCTCCCCGTTACCTGCAGAAGGAAGCCATGCACGTAACGCAGCCCCGCTCTCTTTAACTCCAGGTGACTTTCTGCCGCTTTCCTCTGTGGTGCAGTGCTGATCGTTTCACCACGGAGGAAAGCACTTCACTAATTGCAGTACCCATAAGGAGCTGTACAAATGCCGCAGTTTTTGCGTGGCTGTGTATTTAGTTGAAAGCCCAGTGGCGATCTGCTCATCTCTCATCTAAATAATATGCTACAAAGGGGCGGACTGGCCAACTGTGTGTTGAACTTTCCTGTCGGCTCCCAGACCGTAGTCGAGGAGGGCAGAAGC